AAATCAATGTCTTGTTAGCGAAGAATGATTAAATTTTTTTATTTAAATACTTATCATTTTTAACAGTAGGAAAATAATTTAAAAAAAATTAACGATATCTGGAAAAAGTCCAAATTTCGCAAGCTGCATTATTTTAAAAATAATATTCATTTCGAAGACTACTACCGGAGCACCTCAACATTAGGGCTTTCACCGTTTCTGTATATATTTACATTTTATGATAATTAATCGGACCATTAAATAAGGATTTGGAAAGAGGCTTGGACCAAATAAAATTATATCTAATTCTTTTGCCATTGCAAATTAGCATGTGTAAAATATTTTTAAATTCCTCTGTACGGAAAAAGTTATCGAAGATTAAATTTAATCTTTGATCTAATATAAACATCGTAACAAATAATGAAATGAAATCAAACTGAGTGATGAAAAATTTGTTATCCAGTCTAAATAAAAAATTCTTTTAAGAAGAAATATAGTAAGTACACTAGTGTTAGAAAGTATTTATTTAATTAAACTACAGTTTAAGTTATGATATGAGACATATTCTGTCTCAGATGAGGTTTAAAAGCTGTCCCTGTTTTTAACGCATAAAATCACTTATAGTAGACTATTAATATAATTAATTCAACGTAGTGCAGTAACTATGAAAGAACATTATTCTAAAAAAATATAGAAACTTTGTTATCAGAACAGGTATAATTATAAGTATAAACGAAATGAAAGGTGAAACCTAATGTGTTTAATTGTGTTAAAGAACCCTTCCCGTAGGCTTCATGTAGCATGACAAGCGTCACAGTAGCCAATTTGCTTAGTTTTACACAAAAATGTATGGCGCATCACTGCTCGGGACACCACTGCATTCTCAAAAAAAAAAAAAAAAAACCTAACGCCGCTTTCAAACGCGTGTCTACTTTACGAGAGATCTGTACACTGCAAAGGTTCAAGTGTAACTGACTTCCACCAAATTCTGCCCCCAGCTGATAGTCGCTACCACGCATACTTTCTTCCACCCGTACCACCCTCAAACACTTTCCCTTTGACTTTCTGCTTGGCATGAATATTTCTATCTCATTACTTCCTGGACAGACCTTGTACATCTAGACTAGAAGAGAAACACGCTAATGTGACAATCAAAATCGTAAAAACAACCTTGTAAGCGTAAGTATATAGAAACACTCAATCGATTTCGAGGGCAGCTAAAGGTCCCTCCTCATCAGGAGAAAGAAATACCTAGAAAGAAGAAAATAAAGGGAGAAGGAGTCTCAGAAACACGTGGTTCTTATCAGCACTGCACGTGGTTATAACCTGATTTTTGATCAGAGTTACACTGGCCGCCTACTTTTACTGAGCCAGGCTATCTGATCAACATGTAACACAAAGGACAAGAAAAATTAGCGAAGTTAAAAATAGGGAGCGAGGGGCAAATGCACCTTCACGCTCAAAATCTGAACTTCGAATAATGGAAAGCAACCACTGAACCGGATTTTTATACCCTCTGGTAGTACCAAACGCGAGAGGTAAAGTCATCTATCGGCAAAAATAACTGAATTAAGATAATAGAATTTTAAAGGCATTAGGAAGGACTGGATTGGACTTCAAATCATAAACTAAACCTGCTAAATCTTTGTGAATATGAAAAGCCTCAAGAAAATCCAATTCACCTATGGAAGAAGCCATTGAGTGTTTCTATATACTTACACTAAATACAAGGTTGTTTTTACGATTTTGCTTGTACATGTACTTGTGTACACCCACCAAAAGCTTATTTATAGTTTAGGTGTACTGTTTATGAAATTAGTTACATCATATCGAACTCAGGTGTTTGTAGGTTTTAAATTTAGATTGTTATTTTAATCGGAATCTTAGATAAAGGCAAACCGCCTGTAAATTCCTATTAGCGAGCTCGTTATACTTTCCTTTTTTTAACTCCCCTTTTCCTTTACTCCTCTGAAAACCTACCAGGAGTACTCATAAAGTTCTGTGTTATTTTGACATTTGTTGTTGTGCTTTGTGTAAAGAGTTACATTGTAGAGATATTAGGATATTTTTGGAAGCAAGAGAAGTGAAAAATAAACAACGCCTTCGCCTCGAATCGAACCACGAACTTCTGGAATAAGCGCCCCGCTTGCTGACCACTACACTACGAAGGCATGCTAAGAAGGCGGGTGAAATACCTTATAATATAATATCAAAGATATAACTCTGTTCTTAAGTATTTGTTAGATTGTCGTTAGATGATGAAGTTACGAATTTTTCCTCCGCAGAATTTATAAATTGTCAGTTTAGAAAACAAATGAAACAACTACTAGCTAGGCTAACACAAAAATATCTTAGCTTCGCTACGATTCTCATGCGCAGTTACTTTTGCTTGATATTTTATATACAACACTTGCTAAATACAACACTTGCTAAATACAATTTTCCACGTGTAATAATATAATGTAACAGAGCATAATAAACGCTTTGGTAGCATAATGTATCGAACCCTAAACTGAAAAGGCTCCATTACAGATTTCTCACAAAAATCATTTATGATAACTTCAGTTACTCATGAAATTATCCCAAGAAAAAAGCAAAAAGAAAACAGATGTGACGGGAAAAATTAATTATTGATCATTTTGAAAGTATAAAAAATAAATGTGATTGTTTAATTTCTTACTTGTTTCAGATTCATAAAAAATCAGAAGCTATAGAAGTTTAATTATTTATAAATCATTTTCCTTGGAGCAAAGACATAACTAATTAAGGAAAAAAATGCAACACAAGGAAGGAGAACATTGACTTACCAGTCGAATGATAGGACAAATCTCCAAAGAAAATCAATTCACTCGTTGAGCAAATCTCCGAGCGATTAAAACCCAAATGTTGAAACAAAACTTTAAAATTTCTTTTTAAAAATTATTATTTTTTCCTTTCGAAAAGCATCACTTAAATTAAAACTTTTGACGTTAATTGCATGCCATCGATTCCTTTGATAATATAAATTAAATTATGGTTTCTCTGTGGCAGCAATGAATTATTGATGAAGAAAGAAGTTAAAATCTCATTAATTAGTTCTCCTCATGAATCCAAATATATAATTTTGATTGAAGGAATGCCTTTTGGTCTCAAGTTTATTTTTAAAATTCCGGTGTTTCTTTTTGATGTAATTAACTCGGGAAGGGATTTGTTTTCGAAAGTCTCTGTGGAAGTAATCGCATTAGATATGCATTGAAATTGCATTAATTCTCTTAATTTTTCTAAATTGTATTTTATGTTTATTTTTATAATTCCATTACGACTTCGAGTGATTCATATGTAAGAGCGACGTGGTGTTAGCTGATGTAACTTATGATCCCAAAACTTCTGCTTGAGTAGTATGAAAAGTAAATTGATAGAAATTAGTTCTTTATTTCTTTGAAATGTTTTCCATTTGTTACGTCATTAGGCAGCAAGCAATGATGTTTTCCTGCACTAATTAGTAATATGATTAAAGCGTTTTCTTCGTTTGTTGTTTTGTAATTAAGCAATGAAATGTGTGCTCGTTACATAGCAAGGCAGTACAAAGACAACGATTGCACACAAGGAACGATAAAATAAGCAATTATATTTATGAAAATTAAGCCTTTAATCTTAAATTAGCTGCATGTAGTCACACCTATGTCACACACAATAAGAGTTATCATTATATTCTAGCAAAGAAGATCATAAACCATGACGAAATTTTTCCTTTCTACCCACAGGAGCTGCATTTTCGACCACAGAAACAGATTAGGTTATTTGGATTGGATTGTTTGGGTTTACGTAAGAACTATTTATTTAAGATGAAGGATATCGCCATACAATACAGGACTATTGTATGGAGGGATTTAAGGGAATTTGTTTTGTATCCACTATACACATTGTAAAAAATCCCAGTAAACGTTCATACAACCGGTCAGTTCTCTGGGATTTGCACTCGGTCTAACTACCAGGATTCAGCAATGTTGTTTACATCAGAAAGAACAGAAAATTATCCCGAACATTTTCGACATGCTCTAATCGATGAAATAAAGAATTGTTTATATTATATTTACAGCTAAAACACGAAAACATTATGGTGAATAGTACTACAAAAATTAAAAGATTTTTAAAAAATTGCACATAATGTATTTACAACTTTTAATCACTGAAAGAGGAAACAATTATTCCGAGTGTTTTTGAAAATAATCCAGCCAATAACAGAAATATATAGAGTAAAAGCATACACCAAAGTTTAAAAAAAGTTATTTAAAATGCTGATCTTACGCTGTTCATCACAGGTAAAGTGTTAAATAGCTAAATGCTGGTAAGTCATCCCAAGAATCGAATACAAATGGGGTGACTGCATTGACATTTTTGCGATCTTTCCCATATGTAAAGTAAATAATAGCAAGTTTGTGTTGAAATTACTTTGCGAAAGCATTCTTCCTTTTAGACAAATACCTTGGCTGGTACAGTGGTTAGCGTTGGGGGCCCCTGTCGTATCAATGGGCTCGGTAAGAATTATTACCGACTCGGTAAGAGTGATTCCCGGCTAAGCCTTATATGCTTGTAAATGTATAGTAACTTTGCTACTTGAAGCACGTAATACACTGCAAGCCAAAACTCCTCTTGAATAGTTCTGGTGGTGTAGGAGAGCCTGGACACGTTCATCACGGTGTCAAAATTGGCACGCAACATAGAAAAGTCGTACTATTCATCTATAAGACGCCCATGGCTCATGCAATGACATGCTGTCATACTCTCCTCCCTACGAGAGAATTCGTGGATTTGTTTTGATGTTACTACCAGACAAGTTACAGCAATACAAAAATATCCCTGGCGTGCTTTATTCATAATTAATTAAATAAATACTCAATCCAAAGTAACTATGGATTTTGATCCGACAAATTGCATAAAATGTATACTCAGTATGCACTATCATATTCTTCTTCATTCGATTACAAGTTGTACTTACAATTTATAACCAATAATATCAGTAACTGTATTTTTATTTGCAGGACCTGATCCATATCTGATATACGCCAACCGTGCGGATATCCGCATCGTGTCTTTGAATGCCCCTGATCCCCCATCCAAACTCCTCAGCGGCCTTCAGAATGCCATAGCGGTGGATTTCCATTACGAGACTGGACGCATTTTCTGGTCGGATATTACGACGGATGTAATCCGCTCCGCGTACTTCAATGGTACAGGCGTCTCTGATGTAGTTACATACGGTCTCACTAGCCCAGCGGGACTGGCTGTTCACTGGCCTTTGGAAAAAATACTATGGACAGACTCCGGAACTTCCAGAATAGAAGTTGCCGGATTTGATGGATCGATGAGACGTGCTCTGATATGGAAGAATCTGGAGAAGCCAAGAGCTATCGTCGTGAATCCTGAAGAAGGGTAAAATAAACGTTTTATTTAAAAACGCGTTACCTCAGTCAATATTCTGCGAATTTTATGGAAAATAATTCCAGACGAAATTATTTTCTATTTTTAAAGATCATTTAGCTTTTTTAAATCTCCATCAAATAGACAAAAAGATAATCGTAATAGCAGATTAAAGGGAAAGACAAGCACGTGGTTTTTCTAACTTTTAGAGTAAATCCCGTATATAACCGTATTATAATTACTGATTGCTCCAATATAACCAAATTTACAGTGGTACTACAAAACTGTTGTCTTTCTTCATACTATAGATCTGCTACTAAATTATGCTTCGTAGTATGACTAACTAAACACACACGCAAATGTCAATATCAACAAAAACCTAATTTTTCCTCTTTTAGAGGATTGCACCTAAAGCTAAAATATGCAGCTCAACAAAAGATGATTGATCACCAACAAAATTATCAGTTAGGTGCTCTGTTTCGGAGAATTGCAATTAAAAATATTTCTTTCAAACAAAATACTTGATATTCTCGTCAAGTAATCATAATAAAGTCACTTACCAACCTCGAACGACATACGGAATATGTTGTAGCCTCCGCCAAACACGGACTGGCACTGCTACCGAGCAACATTGCGGGCTTTCGCTCCATTGTAGGCTTTTCAAGGTCATTTTCTTCCTTTCGACCTGCTTTGTAACTATAGTTAAGGCAGCTATGAATTTCGTTGAGTCTTCTAATTTACTCAAATCTCCTAATGTCTTTTGTATGGTAGGGTAAATATTAGGTGGCCCCCTCACTTCTACGTAACATAACATATATTGACAATTATTACGATTATAACTAAGAGGATGGTCATCACGATATTGAAGTGCTTAAAGTAATATAGTAATAGGCATGGGCTTTAGTTAACCTAACTAGCATTTTCCAAATACCTCTAATTTGTATAATCTTTTGATTTCGAATATATGTGATGAAAATCAGAAAGAATATAGAGCAGTGCTTAATTTTAGCTTAACTCTTAACAGAACCTACAAAAAATTGTCATAAGGCATTTTACTATAAAAAATAACATCAGGAAGACTTTATTTCATCTCAATTGCATAGTATGTGTGAGATGTATCTATCCTACATAGTAAGTATTAAATATGCTTTCCTAGCTTCCAAAAAGGATGTTAGATATGACGATTCAAGTTTTTGTTCGTTTGCTGGCGCACTGTTCTCTCAAGACTATTCATTTCGTTGGTAATTCATTCATTCATTTCGTTGGTGTTCTAAATCCTCTATTGTCCTAAAGAATGTTACCCAATATCTTAGAATGGGTATCGTAGTATATGAAATTGACCACTGACTACAAAACAAAGGAAACATTAATTCATGCTTTCATGAACGGGTGGAAACATAGAATTATAGTATGATAAGCTGTGCCCAAGAAGTGGGGATATTTTCAGAATTTGTTGTAAAGGTTATTAAACTCGTATAGACAATCGGTGCTTGAGATACAATAAATTGTTACTAGCTTTATTGTTTCTAAAATTAATAGAAAAAAGCATCAGTTTGATATGAATCAACTTATGCTATACATTTTAAAACTAAAGCATCAAATAATTTTTAATTGATGAATACGTGGCATACAAAACACTTTTGCTTTGTTCGAAATGAACAAAATAAAAGTGTTAAGCCCACACAAAACCATTTTTTGTATCGCAGTGTATTTAATACTTTGCGCCGTTTTAACATCACTAGTGGAATATATAAATAATATGCAATATATTCGCATAAGCACCAATACGTGGCCACGGGAGGCGAACTTGTTTCTTATGATTTTACGTCTTTCTGCAGTTCTTTTGATTATTGACCCAAAAAGTTACCAAAATGGCGGTTAAAAAGCGAGGTATAAGATGGCGAAAAAATTTTGTGAAAGAAATTAAATAGGACTTTATTTTGAGGACATATTAGCATTGATTGTAAAGTTTGAAACATTTGAGAAAAACTATATTTTTTGTTAAAAATTAAAAGACGGTTATCAGGACTACTAATTATTCTTATTGCCTTTGCGAACATAACTGGACATAACTTTGAGTAGAACAAGGAGTTTACTTGAAACTATGTTCGTGCAAGTTATTTTTTAGAAGATAAGACACAAATGGGAAGGGTTTAACACTTTATTCTTCACAGTTTACAGCTGTTCCCTTATTTCGGTATTCAAAGACCAGTAGTTAAGGTCTGAAATGTAAAAATAAGAACTACAAACTAACTAACTTAAATAAGAAATAAACTCAAATACTTTAAAAAGACTAGTATCGCGAAGATTGGCCTTTTAAACTTTGCGTATGTAATAAGTAGAATGCGGGAACTACAATACGTCTGCAAGTGTCAAAGAGAACTAAGTTCTGGCAGACAATAACTGACTGAAAAGCGCACGCGAGGTAAGCTAGCGAGAAGTCTCTGTCTTTAGCTCCTTCTTTTGGCTAAAAGCGATATCTAAATACTTAACAGTTTGTAAGTTCAATTTGCATAACCAAATAACTGCATTTATTCTGGTCGGAAGTGGAAAATAAAAGAGGACAGTAAAGTTTTAAAATAAAATAAATGTTAGTAAAACTTAAAATCCTTGCACGTTACCTAAAAATAGCAGTTGATAGTAAAATTTAATAACCGGATTTGAAATTAACACAAAACAAATATAATTTACAGTGTTCAAAGTCTAGGTCGGGACCATGGTTAACGCTTCGGTAACGTAAAGTAACGTATCCAACACAACGTAAAGTATCGTATCCGACATTAACATAACTTGCGAAATAAAAAAAAAGCGTTATACAGATGTTAGTAACTTTAAAAATGGTATATATTTTTAACATATTTTTTTATATAAATGACGCTAAACATATGTTAACGACGCTTTGGCGTCGCCTCTACATTCTCCATATTCAAGAGATTTTTATTTACCTTGTAAGTTTCTAACTAGTGTATTTCTCAGTTACTGTAGAAAGTGACGAATCTTAAGAGCTAGATAGTGAATAAGCGCTTAAGTTCGTGTAACAAGAAACGACAAGATGGAAGGTGGATGATGATGGACGAACAAAACTAACCCTTTATTATTCCAATAAGATTTAACAAAACTCCGTCTGGGAGTATACAATAAAAGCGGACACTTGGGCTTGAACTTAAGAGACTAAGAAATAAACTAAAACTAAGATTAACTAAAGAGATATAGCCGAAGCTATCAAGATTATAATCGAGTTGGCCCCTTAACATTATTTGACTACGAAGCTTATTGAGGGCCTGAGTACGGCCGAGCGTAATAGCAGCTTTGAGAGAGAGAGAGTAGCCAAAAGGTAGATGCGCGCAAATCAGAAACTCTGATTCTCTCTAACTCAGCAAGTAGACTTCGCGGTTTAAATACCGCTCCTCCTCATTAAGTACTGAGAGTGATTCCAAAACTACGTTCTAGCCGGAAGTAGTAAGTTAAGAATTTGACAGAAAAGGAACTTTAACTTAAAATTTAACTGCTAATGAAATTAACATAATCCTTACTACCTCTATCATGAAATTTTAAACAATGTTTTCAAGTCTAAGCTTACCATAAAATTAGAAACAAGAACAAAACTATATATATGTATATATATGTATACTCATACATATATATGTATACTTATATATATGTACTTATTATAATTATTTATGGCTTTCTTCAAAAATCAGACACTAAATACTCTTGCATTAGCTATCACGCTAATGATATCTTTTAGCAAAGCATCGATTTCGAAATTAGTACTAACTTGCTTGAGTCTCTACTACTGTATGACCATGTCATCAGCCCGTTCCCTTGAGTGCGAACCCGGGTCGAACTGCTAGTATTCAGTGCTCTTAACCACTCAGACAGTGATAGGAATCGTAGGTGTGGTCATACACTTGAACTGATGAACAATTTAATTGCATTTTTAATCTCAATCTTATGTGTAAATAAAGATTTGTAATAAAATCAGTAGAAATTATTTAAAGTATTTTCTTCCGTTAAAGCCCCTCCCCTCCACTCCCAATGAGAACAGAAAATCCCGGTTTTAATTTACATGCCACAAGCTAAACTGAAATCATATAAACCAAATATTCGGTAATAAAATGTATTTTATTTAAATAACTTTTAATAACTATTGTTTAAATAACTAATAAGTAAAAAAAACAATTATTATATTATTTCAAGAAGTACTTTGCATAACTGCATCAGTGATATTTAATGCACTGAATATTTATTAGAGTTGGTGGCACTTGGTGGTATAACAGATTTTCCTCAGGGCTTCCTGCTTCATAAATAATGCCCCGATCATAAATAAAAAGCAGGATTCTTTATTTTTCCCAAAGAAAGACGTGAAATAATTACCCATTTGAATCCTGCACCTGCTCCAACTAAAATATGCTTACAATTTCACATGAATATAGAATATATTCATGTAAAATTGTAAATATAGCATTGCAACGCGAATCGAAGAATGAGAAATTGTGATTTGCGTGCCATATTAACTAAAAGAACGGATTCAAGTTTCACATGAATATAGAATATATTCATGTGAAGTTGCAATATAGAATAAAGAATATTCTATTCTGAATTTTACAGGACTTTATACTGGACTGATTGGGGCAGTCATCCTAGAATCGAAAAGGCCATGTTGGACGGCAGCGAGAGGAGAGCCATAGTGGACACGTCTCTATTTTGGCCAAATGGACTCACCATTGATTATCCAGCTCAAAAGCTATACTGGGCGGACGCCAAGCATCACGTGATCGAGACGTCAGCCCTCGATGGCAGTGGTCGCAGACGGGTTATTGAGAGAGGTAAATTATTTGCTAAATTTGAATATTCTGCCGGTATAGCATTGCAACGCGAATCGAAGAATGAGAAATTGTGATTTGCGTGCCATATTAACTAAAAGAACGGATTCAAGTCTTAGATACCTTACAGTTGGATATTAACAATTAACAGTTGGATATGTTTGGCTAATTTGATTCTATATATATATATATATATATATATATTATCAGATTGTAAATGTATTACAAAATTTATTCAAATTTATGCTTGGAAAAATATTTTTGCAAGCCTAACAGATTTGTTTTTTGGGAAAAGGGGCTCATTAAAGAAAAGAGAGATTTATGAAAATCGCTGTCAAAATCAACAAATTTTGATAATAAAATCTGCTCATCTGATTTTTGGCTTTAAATCACATGTTACATAAACAGTTTTGACAAGCGGCTGCTGCATTATCACCTTTTCAGGCGAATGAACCATCGATTTCACCATCCCATCCCATCCCAGTTGTCGCACAGCATACAAAGCGGCCTCTCAATTAATTAGGTTTATTCGAGGATGATTTTCTAAGGAAACTAGCTCATATTTAGATTTCACAAAGGAGAATCTATAAACAGTGTTTTTCAGCACATTCATGTTCCAGGTTTCGAATCCAGAACGAAATAATTAAGACAAAGCACAATAGGAGCTATCTGCACAATTGAAGTTTGTTAATGCTAATTACCTTAACATGCTACTTTAAGCAATACGTAAAAAGCAATTGCAAGATACCTGCTTAAATCAAGGATTGAATTCGAGGAGAGCTTTGTACCTTCCACACAAGGTAAGTTGTAAACTTGGCCCTTTTTACTTCCTTGTACGAAATAAAAGGGAAGTATTGTAATCTCGAAAGTTTTCAGGCATCGTATTTCAACGAAAATATCCATTTTCATCGATATCGAATGCAATTCAACGATATTTTTGCGTGACATTTGTACGTAAGGACAAAATAAAGGGCTCGATTTCTTTATCTTATATGTTTGTAAATTGAGCATTTTTTGCTTTAAAAATGATTTAACTGTGTTATTCTTATCTTCAGGTTAAGGGTTTATGCCTTTATTAAATCTGCATGCAATATTTGTAGAATTAACAACAATTTAAATGTTGTTTAATTGCGGCTAAGCCAAATTTTATTGCCAAGGCGGCCATGTTTGTTTACATTTGAAACTTGGCAAAATAGTAGATTTGTTGCCAATCTAGAGAAACTAAGCTTCGCAACAACAAAGAGAACGCCTTCTTTTATTATTCCGAATTAAATCCTGCTTAATCCGTTCTGGAATTATTCACGGAAATAAGTATTTAAGATTTACTTCATAATTTTCAGAACAGACATTTTGAGTTTTTATGCATTTTTGCCTTGCCGGGAAGTGAGAACTGAATTAATTGAATGAGAAATACTGAATCATCTGTGAAAAACTGTTTCTTTTTTGCTGTGTTTGCTTAATTTCTTTTATAGATCGTTTTAGGTTTATTATAATATTTGAATAGAACATGTGGCAACGAGTAGATAATTCTTCTGATGATATAAATTTTGTGCATTCTGAGTTATAAAATGAGTGAAATGTAACGCTGTTAATGGAACTTAGCGGCAGAGTGTCGCTATGGTAAACAAATATAGAATTTTAAAAAGAGTGCATTTTTTCTATTGTGGTTTATGCGCTGTCGACGAAGAAGATTTAATTCAATCCAATAAGCTTATATGAAATGCAAGAAAAATGTGTATAATTTAAAATTCCGCACAAGGAATTCATGTGGTGTACACATCAGACTTTTTTTCAGATTGTATCTGGGTTGAGATACCTGTGCTTAGGTCATGTTTAATCAAAAACATTTTTTAGTTAATTGTGTATTCAAAATAGGATTGAGGCATGTTATTAGCAGTATTACTTATCGATAAGCAGTTCAACGCAGAATTACGTAAACCTGGAGAAAACATTGAAATGAACTCTCAATCTACGAATTCATTTTCCCCATCGCTTAGATAACTCACTCCGAAGAAAGTTTTATTTTATTCATGTATTCATCAATTTTTCATTCTTATTCTTAGATTTACCACTTAATCCATTTTCCTCTTTATATTCTTTATTCATTGTTTTCTATTTTCTACCGAAATTTCCTGTTCTTTACATTTCCGTAACCTTTATTTCATTTATTAATACCATTTTTATTAAAACAGTTATTAGCAAAAGAAGCTTTATTCATTTCCTTGGAGGAAACCTATTCTGAATAAAAATATGTCGTAGCTAATATTTAGCTGAAACATTTTATGAGAGTTTATCTATTAATATTTCATTTTCATTCATGTACTTCTCGCACTCTGAAATGCTGATATATAATTCGTTGCATGATTTGATTTTAATTCATTTGCTACAAACATATATATTTATTCATTTCAAAATTTGCCCTTAATTAAAGTGCACATTATTTGCTGCTGAGAAAATAAACCTAAAATCGTAAATATGTATGGACCGCATATTTCCTTTACATAACTAAAAGGATAATATCGCTGAAAACTGGTAATTCCACCTGGATTCAAATACCGGCAAACAAGTTGACTGCTTGAGAATGTTCATGGTTTTATCTTTGGGTAATGTAAATGCTTTCTATAACGGCAACGGAATTAATAATTTATTTAAAACTATTTCATCAATCTGTAATATTTTATCAAGTACTTCTGAATAAATAAATTAATTAAAATAATAACAATGCCTGCTTTTTTCGTCACGAAAGAACGTAACAATTACACGTAAGCGGGTTACAAATAAAATATTTTGCTTCACATAAATAAGTAATAACTGGTACGTAAATAACAACTCACAAAATGTTTTAAGCCTCTGATAATATTTTCCTGATTATATTTTGTAATTAAACTTACACGGAACTGCACTTATTGAACTTTCTTTCATCCCATGAATTTCTATTTTCACACATAAAAAGGTACTTAACTAAACTTCAGTAGAATAAGCAAGAGTTAAAAGTTACAGATTTATTACAAGTTCCTCCTGCACTACAATTAAAATTTAGCAGCATAAGCCAACCCTACTCTCTAGGCTTCAGAAACTGAGTTGTAATGTAGATGCCCCATATAAGGTGAGTGAGTGAGTGCACCGCTATGATGGCTTCCGACCACGGACGTGAACCAAACGGAATTATATACCATCACGGCGGGGAAGACTCCAAAGTAACAAGGTTGAATATTACATATTAATAACAGTTTTCACAGTTTGATAACTGCAGGCACTAAGCATTATTCTGGTTATCTGCTTTAAGTTCTGAACATTTGAAACATAATATTATTCACGGTTGTTTCTGCTTAGGCAGTGTCATGAGATTTTCTCCATTTTATCAAGGGCTACTCTGTTTTTGAGTGTGTTAGACGACCACATTGCCCAGGCACAGTCCGCTGGTTTCTTCAAGTGCCAGGTTCTTGTACGTACACAATGGAAGTAATAATGGTCCGCATTTTCAGAAAGGAGTATCCCTAAGTCTGAATCTGCTCAGGTATACTGGAAATGGTCCGTGACCTGTCAAGAACTGTGTTAGGCTACGTCAGTGGATCTTTATTTCCATGTTAACTTTTGGCAGTAAGCGAAATGTCCTTCGTCCTACCTCTGCCTCTGTTCATCTACTTTGCCATTTTGTAGCAGACTTGTCAAAGTTGTTTGCGTAATATGAGACCAAGGAAGTTTAGTTGGTCTTTCTAATATATCCGTGCATTTGGCTGCTTGCTTGGCCAGTAGGTCAGCGGCTTCATTGCCTTGAATCCCTGTGTGAGCGAGAACCTATTTTAAAGTGGGTCTTTGCGAAATAGGCATTGTCAAAAGCTGTTTCTGAATTCGGTATACCAAAGGACTCCGGCTGTTTTGATTTGCGAAAGCCGCCAGACTTGATGCGGAATCACTGAGTATAGAGAATTTCTCCTGTTGACATGTATTCGCATATCTAATTGCGTCACTGATAGCTAGAAGCTCTGCTTGGTATACTGAGTTGTTCAAGCCTAGTTTCCTTTTCCACTCGAATGTTACAACTCCATTTTCCAGTCTACAGAAGACGCTGCCGGTGCCGTTCTTAGTTTTGGAGCCATCTTGTGAAAACGTTATTACTGTTCCTCTGATTGGTTGGTCGCTTATGCTGATACCGTCGTAGAGATTAAAAGCTGCTGGATGAAAGTTATTGCAGTTGTTTTGCTCCTCGTAGTCTTAATGGTGAGTATTTTCTCCCTTCTTTCCGTATGCCTTCGTGGTGTAACTGGAAGACATTCGACTCACATTAGGAAGATCCAGAATTCGAACCCCGGCGAGTTCATTGCACATTTTTCACGTTTCCAGCATCAACATTCCATAGAAAACGACTATAGACTAGAAAATAGTTATTCTACAAACAACAACCTCGTGCTTTAAGAGATACAAAATTCATTCTCCATGCCTACAAGTCAGCTGGGTACGCGGTTGCTTGTCTCAGATTAAAGAGCTAACTAAGGGGTTGCTCGGGCACTGTTTTTAAACCACAAATTCATTTCCATTTAAATTCACCTAATTTGCATTTTAATGAACGTTGATGTCATAAAACAGAAGGAACAGAAAAGAGCTAACATGAAAATAATTATTAGCTAAAATAAACCTTATAATATCCCATCCATATTATCATTATGTTCCACAAAACTTCACACGCCCAAATTTGCATTATGTTCCCTAGGCAAACCAATTCAGCAAGCGTGGGATTCGACGTGATTCTATATATAAAAGTCTAGTGTCAAAAGGATAAAGCATATTGATGTGAAGAATTAAAATATGTTTTGTACATTACAATACGTGTTCAATTTATAATATGTTAAAACTACAATATACATTTTGTACATTGCATCATGTATTCAGTTTACAATACGTGTACATTACGATGTATGTTTTGTGCATTACAATATGTGTTCGTATTTGAGTTTCCTTTATCACAAATCATAAGAGTACTGAGAGCTGACGTGGATTAAATA